AATTTGGTAACGAGTTTTTTGTGTATCATGAATATGAATAAAATAAATATGTAACTATTGTAGAGTCTTAAACTAAATTTGAATAATTGAACATTGAGCTTGGGTTGAGAATAAAGTTAGTTAGGCTAAAATTAATTTTTGGACTGGACTAATTTTTTATTCTTTTTGAATTTTACCAAGAATTTGGGCTAAATTTTCCAATTTTTAAAAACAAATTTGCTTCTGGGTTGGGGCTGGGCTTCCATCCGCCCATGTAGCCAAGGAAAAGATGGTGCAATTGAAGGGGCAAATGTCGGTTAGCGACATGAGAGTTTCAATATACAATGCTATGCCTTTGGCTGGGGTTAGGAGAAAAGAACAACTGGTTCTGGTTTGGGATTTCGTTTGGGGTGGGGTTGACTTTTATTTATTTATTATTTAATGTGATTAATAGCTAATTACCATTTTCCCATATTAAAATTGATTAAAATGTAGTCAAAATCAATTTTTTGGGTTAAGTGATGGTATTTTGGATGAAAATCATTCAAAAGGGTCTCTCCTGCAACGTTTCAAAAGGTTAGGGTGATGGATGCAATAAATCAAAGATTTGGGGAAAGTCTGCTAGTATTTTAAAGGTTTGGGGCTTTTTCTGCAATTATTCCTTTTACTTATAATAAATACCTGATTTGTGAGAAAATACAAGTATGACCTGATTTGTGGGAGGAGGAGCCCAAGCTAAAATGCACGATTTGGGACTACCAAAATTGATTAAAGCCCGGTAGAAGCCCATAATCTTCTTGGTGTAATCCGAAACTGCGTATCCAGCAAAGACCCAGCAATATAAGGGGACAAGTGGCTTTGCTGTTTTCCTGGCTATTGTACTAAATTTTGGGAGTGTGAAGGAGATGGAAAAAGGAGTCGGTTTCATTACCCTCTTGGCACCATTTTAATCTTGTGTTGCAGTGATTTCTACAAGGATAAGTATCTTTTTCATCACCAAACTTGGAAGGAAAAGGAAGGTAATACAGATTTATTTGGGTAAAAAGATGCTTTAAATTTATTGGGCTTTTTATGTTTATTTCGCAATCGATTTGATTGTTTTTAATGATTTAACCTCGACCGTGTTTCCCCTTGTGCATCCGATTAGTCTATTTCCCCTGTCAAGATCGTTGTTTCATTGTTGAGGTATTTTTGTTTAGTTTCCCATAATGCACTTCAACTGTTTGATGGTTATCCCCCTCCAAATTGTTAATGTACGTTTCTGTTCCGTTATTAACTTAGTTTCTTTTAC